AATATGTCCCCAAGCCTCCCAACTTTCCTGGTTGCTGTGTTGGAAGTGGGTGACAAAGTTCACTCGCTTCCGAAAACACACACAGACGACCTCTCGACAATATGAATTTTGGCGCATAAAAAATGCACAAAACGCAAAAAAAATAAAATTTAAATTAAATTCACTTTCAGTCTATTTGTACAAAATTAGATTTCGACTACTGAAGGAACAGAGATCTCATTTTGCGGCGAACAGTGCGTAATTTAGCTCTTGCGGATACCCATGTTTTACATCATTTCAACACAAGCTTCTCAGCATACACACACCTACTTGCTAGGAAATATAGCCTAGAACCTTCTCGAGTTCAGGCCTACCGTGACGATGTTTTATTCGGTGCTCACCGCCTGTTGGAAAGTTTCTACATCAACGCTCGGCCTATCCGCAACGTCACTCCTTCCATTCTTCTTAGTCGTTCTTCCCGCCAGCACCACCGCCTAGTTATTAAACCAGTCGACAAAGCTCCCAGTAACTATGTATTCATTTGTAAATTCTAATACGTAAACACCTTGCATCGAGAACTTGGCATAAAAGACAACAGTGGGGTCCTTGGTAGCCACACTTATTTCCTATTCGTGATAGTGATTCGCAGATAGTTGCTAGCTATGATAAACCGCTACGTACATTCAAACTTAGTCTAGACGAGAAAAATAAGCTACCACTTTACCCTTTGTCTTCATAATTTACACAGTCCTATGTTTCATAAAAACCTCTACAGCTTCCGTCCTATCGCTTCCCCTACTCATTCTAGTACTAAGCCTTTGAGTATACTTTTGCATCGCATTTTTCAATTCTTCCGCTAACATCTTCGTAACTACGCGGCTGCTGCACAGCGCAGATTACGCAAGTGCCTCTTTCATAACGTACCTAACTCCAGCGAGGTACTATCCTTCATCAGCGAGTGCGGACCTGTTAATCACTTATACACAGTAGACTTTTTCACCCTCTTCACAAAGCTCCCGCATCACGTAATCTATGACGTCCTCAGCTACCACTTCACCCTTTGTCTTCATAACGCCCAATCTGATGCTCTTCTCATTACCCTTAATGGCATCTTCTATTCTGAATACCTTCGCCTTCGCTGCTCTGGATCCGTTTACCCACGTGCTGAAATAGATGGCATCCTCCTTTACGTTGTGCAGGAGTCTTATGCACGTTTCGTTGGCTACATCTTTTGCCAGGCAAAAGGGGTCCCCATGCGTGGCAATACTAATTCTGACATTGCCAACCTCACTTTGTCGATAGTTGAATTTAAATACAGCAGATTTCCTACTAGTTC